GGGTGTGAAACAGGTTCTCTCTTTGTTCCTGCTCAGCGTCTTTGGATTGGAGACTTAGAGATCGTCTAGCCACTAATAAAGTCCCTTGAGCTGGAAGTTCCTCATGATCTTTCTCAGCTGCGACCTCAGACTCTTCCTCATCAGACGCTTTGTCTCCATTATCCAACAGAATCATGTTCTTTCGATTTGAACATTCATTCGCGTAATGTCCCCTGCCTTGACACTTAAAGCACTTGACATCTCTTGATCTTGGATTAGTAGTTTCTGCCTTTCCTTTGTGATCTTGAGCAACTGGATACGACTTGGCTTCAGCTTTTGGGTAGGCGATCTGCTTTCCTTCTCTCTGAAAAGATCCTGCTTTTTCTTCTTTCGGGTAAATGGGTTTAGTAACGGTTGCTCCACCTCCATAGCTTGTCTTAGTGGGTACACGTCTCTTGAGTTGTTGCTCGATCAGTATGGCTTTGTGTAGCATCTCCTCCACCTCAACATAATGTTGCATTTCCAGCCTGTCTTGAATTTCTCGATTCAAGCCCCCCCCCCCCCCCCAGATCGAGTTATTGGACCGGCTGGCATCTCCAAAGCTTCTTCTATATCCGGTTCTTCTTGTTCTTCTAGTCCAACTTCTTGAGCTCCAAGTTCCAAGTCCTCTAGGCTGTCCATGATCGCATCATGTTATGTGTTCTAGCATCTTTATTCCTGTTAGCAATGAGAACTAACTTGACGTTGTCTTCTGGTTGTTGAATATTGTATCTGTCTTTGTATGAACGGAAAGCTTTCACCATTGGATTACAAAAGTTTAACATCTTCATGAGACATTCAATTAACGCCGGCCTTAACTTGGTCGAGCTAGAGACCTTCTTGCTGAAATAGTAAGAAAGTGCATAATTAAATGTAATGTATGATAAACATATTAACCATTAGTAAACAATAATGTTAATGGATATTAAAATAGTGCGTACAGTGTATACCTGATTGATTTCTCTCTGTTGGTTATCTCATTAGCTGTATCATGGATATACAGCTGACAGAACTTTGGTTTCTTTTTCCCTCTGAGGAATCAAAGAACCAATTAAGTGATAATTTTCACCATGTAGTTGGAATATGGGTGGACCACGACCCTTGTTTATATCGTAATTTATCTTTCCACCAATAGATGTAAAAGAAAACATCATGTTGTAAGCTCTGATATTCTCACGAAAATGGCGACAAATTTCATCATCACTCGAGAAGAGATATATCAAAAATGGAGGAGGTTGGTTAAGTATGGGTAGCTTAACTTTTCCCTGCAAACAACATATAGTAAATATATATGTTGCACTCTTCTTCTTTTTCTGAATGCGTTCATTAAACCACATCCTTGCTTTGCAGTGTGTGCATTCATACACCGGATCACCATCATCATAATATCCTGAGGTAATATAACATTCGAGATAATTGAACATTTAATACAGTTAATAATATAACGGAAAAAGTATCAATATAAATGTGTAAAATTAGAGACATAACCATTTTCTAATATCATAGGTTTACGTTCATGATCATAATCATCTGCTATGTATCAGTTCCATGAGGACTTTCGTTAAACTTAATCCCCTTCATTAAACGTTACCTGTTATGTCTGGCCTTTCGCTGTCTCTCGAACAAAGATTTAGATAGTTGATTATGTCTTTCTCTAGCAATGATTTTGTCAACAGAAGAGTTCCACCACATAATGACTTAGATTCAGAGTTAAGATTACATTAATATGTATTAAAGGATAATAAAAACTAAAACTAATAGGAAAAATGAATTACTAACTAAGATAAGGATACATGACTTCTCTATTCCATCAACTGTGTCTGAGCTTGATGTATTCTTGTTTGATTTCTCTGGTGAAAACATATAACCAAAGAATATTGAATCAAAAGGAATGTTCTATATTAAATCAGATACATCTTTTAGATATAAATACAAATCAGTAATCTTACTTGGACCACTATGTACTTGTTTAGGAAGACCGGAATGATGGGGTTGTGAAACAAGAGTTGTTCGAGACTTACTAACAACAGATGGTGGCGTCGCATAGGTTGTATTTGAGGTTGTACATTCAGATACATTAGTATCATTTGATGAAAGGATACCATCTGATAATATAATTCAAAAACAAACAATGAGTTAATAATTTTTGTAGATAAAATGTTATCAATTCATTCTACTATTAATAAATGGAATTCTTCTTACTTGGCTGTAAAGGTACAGATTTAGCAATACCAGAATCTAGCCTCCGTGAATTAGGATTTGTTCGAGATTTGCTAACAATAAATGGGCGTGTCGCATACGTAATATTAGAGGTAGTGGTTTCATTACTATTAGTTTGCCATGATGATTGGATAACACCAGCACCATGAATAACGTTGCTTGCTAGGTTTAGATCAGGAATTGTTGTATTATGTTTTGCAATTTTAGGCCGTGAAAATTGAGTTTCAGGTATGATGTTACCAAACCTAATACCTGAAAATATTATATATGTTAGCATTGAATGTATAACATATAAGCTTACTATATATAAAAGAAAGAAATGAAAAATGGTAGTTGAGATATAGGTAACCCGTTTCGTCAGAAGATGGTGAGCATTGCAAAGGTCTCTTTATAGGTGGCATGTTTTCTTTTAATGAGCTTGGTAATGCTATATGAAGACAAACAATATCATAATATATAACATATAAGATAATTCATAAAACGATTTTTTTAAATAAAACATAGTTCACATACACTGTTGAGATTTAGGTGTATTTGACCGTATAGAGAAACAACCCAGAGTTGCTGACATCTCTAAAAATTTCATCTACGTATATAAACAAAAAAGACAACACAATTTAAAAATAATTCAAAGTATAAAACTATTGAGTAAAGCAAATAATAGATAAAAACTCACTTGAAGTAGATATGTCAGATGTAATCCGAGATGAACTCTTCACCAAATCGTTTAAATTTCATCTATGTATATAAACAAAAAAGACAACACAATTTAAAAATAATTCAAAGTATAAACTATTGAGTAAAGCAAATAATAGATAAAAACTCACTTGAAGTAGATATGTCAGATGTAATCCGAGATGAACTCTTCACCAAATCGTTTGAATTGCTTAAATCTCTAAATATCATATCAAATGCACCAGAAATAGGCTTTGTGGAATGTGTTTGGCTTGTAGATACTGTCTTCTGTTTATTTTGAATTCTGTTTTCATCATTTTCGTATCCATAACGATTTTTTTAGAACTATGCATTGCATAAGAAAGTGAACATAAGTGTAAATAGAGGTAAACGTGAACACAAAGAATGTTATGAAGCGGAAAACTTTACTTATATGAATGAATGGTTGTTTGTTCGAAAATTCAAACTAAATGTGATCCCTTATGAATAGCAAAACAAATATTCTACATTTAAATTCATATATCTAAATCCACAAATATAGATCGTAAATATAGAGGAAGAATCAATTTAGTTACAAATTGCCAAATTAAAAGGATAATTATAGTTAAGTAAAGTAAGTAATACGGTTAAAAGATATAAGTTATAATACATTATTCAGTTTTAGCTATTGATGGAATTTGTTTTCGGTTATTAGTTATACGGATCTTTGGATATATAGCTTCGTATAAGTATATTTAATTTCTTTACAATTTTTGAAATAATACTCCATAAATAAATAAAGAATAATACATTAAAAATTGAGTATAAGCTAATTATGTTTGAGTACTATTTAATATATCAATGATTTCATTTGAATGATGATCATAAGATTTCAAAGACAAATTATGTTTGAATACTATTCCAACGTCTCGACAGCATTCAAGTACTGTTTCCACACCTTCAATATCTTCACATAAACTCTCCATTGAGTTTTGAAGGGCTTCACGGAGTAGAGATCGGTGAAAGAAGACATAATAGCAAGATGACAATTTTAGATTCAGAAATGTATTGAAAGGTGAGGGATGAGGAAATATTGGAGAAACGTTACATCTATATATATACGGTATTAAGAGAACATCGTATTGCTAGGTTAAATATTTCAAATTTAGAACTTTCTTCTTGTTAATCTAATCCAAGGATCTCGGATATTCTTCGTTTAGGAATAAATATACCTTCCGCAATTTGAGTTACTGATATGGATCTTTATTTAGTTATTTAAAAATTTGCCAAATTTTCAATGTAGAATATGCGAAAATATAGATACTTACTTAATCTGTTTGAAGTTTAAATTATTGTTATTAGTTGTTGATAAAATTGCTCAAAGAAAATATCTATCTTTCGAAAATATAGGAACAATGTTTTCAATGTGGAGATATGCGAAGATATGCGAAGATATTGGAACCAAATAATTCAATGTAGAATATGCGAAAATATAGGTAGTTTGTTTATGCGTTTCAAGTTTAAATTTTTATCCGATCTTCCTAAAAAATGAGTAATCAATACTGAAAACATTTTTAAAAAATGATATTAAAATAATACATTTTTAGTTTTGGAATTGTTGATGCTTATAAACGAATTACCTAAATAATTAACTAATATAGAAATGTTTATATGTTTGTGAATAATATATAAGTTAAGGTAGAAATAATGTATAACGTGAATTATGAATAACGTAATCTCCTTAATAATATTAATTTGCAAATATTTATTGTAAAATTATGTTCATTCAACTTGTATAAATAATAATTAATAAGAGAATATATACATAATACAAAAATAATATTTGGAAGTTCAAAAAGATCAGAAGAAAATTAATGATTAATAAAACTATAGATGGAAATATACAGTTAATAATAAAATATATGAAGAACACGTATTTGAAAAAATTATTGCAGTTAAATGTATTTTAAAAAATAACGTTCTGTTTAGATATAAAGATAATAGGAGAATTAAAATTAAATAAATTAATGATGTATCTAAATATCAATTTTAATCATAGAATTAAATAATGTCTCCACTTTAATATATTGGATATATATATATATAGAGTCCTTTCCTTCTCTTCTTCGACAAGTCTAAAGGATAATTCATTCCTATTAATCTTTGTTGTTCTGTCTAATTGAAATCTTGTTAGCTATATAATTCGCTTTCGCCACAAAACCTCGAGCTCGTCGGAAATCAAGGTACGACTCAATCATATCTCTGTTCTTCGCTCTTGGAATTTGAGATGAAATTGAATTTTCCGCTGGATTTTTGTTTATTTTTGGGGTGAAAAACTCAATTCATATGTAGAAATTGTAGATGTGATCGATCCAATTCCTGATCCATGGCCGTTGGCGATAGTAGCTTAGAGTTATCTCATCGCATGGAAGAATATTCTGGAAGAACAATGAAAGTTTCTGTTGTATGGAAAGGAAACAAATACACTCTCCAGATCGATTCCGGGTCAAATCTAAAGGATTTGGGTTATGAATTGATGAAATTAACCGGCGTTACGGCGGAGACGCTCCGTTTGATCGTTCCTCGGTTGAATGAAAAAGGGTCAAGATTGTTTTTGCCTTTCTCTGATGAACACTCGAGCTTGAGCTTGCAAGAATCTTCCATAATTGAGGTTCGATTTTTCGTTTTCGTTTGATTTTTCCTGAAATGTTGTTGTTGTAGGAACACTAGTTCTATTAAACTGAAAATTTGTGAGGAAATTACATAAAATAGATAGATACAAGAATTTAGAAAACGCTCTTTCCTTAATTTGGTTTAATTAGTAGACTTTGCTATCATTGTTGTAATTATAGCTTAAGGTTGAATTGGGAGTCTCTTCCGGGACATGCCATAAAGTTGGAGTTACAAATCTTTAAGCAACTAGTGTGTGGTCTAGTGGTTTGTTCATGTGTATAGAGGACTCTGGAACAAGTTCTACCAAATACGAATATCGTTGTTGTTCCTTTTGGCTATTGTAGACGCTTTAAGTGGCTAAAATTTCCGGTTTCGGCCCAATATCTACCCCAGTTATCGAATAAAAGAAAGGGTGCATTGGGATAATCAATATGTAGCAAAGTAGGCGAGAATTCAATCTTGTTCATTGTTTTGGTTGTTTAAACAGTTATTGTATTCCCATATCGATTGATTTATTCACCACTTAAAGTGTATGTATTTAGTCTCACTACGCATTTTTCCAAAGCTTGTCAAATGTGTTTAGTTTATCTCTTTTTTTAAAGTATACAAAAGCTCTTGTAATCTTTTCTTATTATTGATTTACTTTCTTCTTGTTTTTAGGATAAAGCTATCAGAATGATGGGAGTGTCTGAAGAAGAGGTCAACGGTGTTCTGAAAAATGCAATGCCTGACATGAGAATACTTGGCTTTGAGGAAGAAGAGAGAAGGCTTAGGCAAAAGAAGTTGTCTAACACGTCAATCAAGCTTCCACAGGGACCTTACATCTTCTGTGATTTCCGTACTCTTCAAATCCCGGGTATAGTGGTAAGTAATATCCCCAAATTGCCATGTCTAAAATTTATACTTGTGTTTTTGCGTCTATATAAATTGACACTCGAGACGTTTGTTCATGCAGTTAAACCCTCCTGCTTCTGATGCTCTAAAGAGAATGCACATGCTTGCAGCAGACCCTGGTATTGTCGCGGTTATGAACAAGGTTATATTTACATGTAATGAGATACTTATCATGCATCTGAGTCAGCATATATCGATAATATACCAATCGGGTTTCGTTTTGCGTTTGTAGCATCGTTGGAGAGTAAGAATTATGTCAGAATTCGCCCCAGTTGGTTATGTTGGTGTCAGTCCGAAATGTCTTCTAGGCTTCAACAAGGTAACACTATCACGTCCTCTGTTCCTTTGTCTGTTCTTGCGTTGATTTTCTCAAATGTTTGACATTGGCTCATGTAGAATCAAGGAGAGGAGATTTCTCTACGTCTTCGGACTGATGATCTCAAGGGATTCAGAAAGTACCAGAGCATAAAAAAGACTCTATTGCATGAGCTTGTACGTTAATTACTGTGCAACTTGAAATTCCGCAAAATCTGAACATTACTGCATGAGTTTCATTTAAGAGCTAATATTCTCTGAATCAATATCTCAGGCTCACATGGTATACACGGAACATGATGAAAACTTTTATGCTCTTGATAGACAGGTAATTTATATATACAACGGTTAACAAATATGTCTCTGTTATCTCAGTTTTATATTGGTGGAGATTTTACAAATGAGTGTTTGTGTGACAGTTGAATAAAGAAGCTGAAAGCTTAGATTGGACTAAATCAAGGGGTCACACTTTAAATGGAACGAAAATTATGAATGACTATGATGAGGAAGACCACTTCGTTGATGAACATGAAACTTTTTCTCAGAGGCTTGGTGGAAATCAATACGATAATCTGAGAAATGCTCGTGAATCGTCTGTTGCTGCTGCTTATCGCCGTCTCTCCCACGCAAGTGAAAACAAAGACGCTGGTGTTTCGAAACTCAAACCTGATCCTGATGAATTGGTTGATGTTCGTGATGAGAATAATCAGCCAAGTCTCCCTAAAGCTAAAGTTGAGCCTGATCCAGATGAAACCACTGAAAATGGTACAACAGAAATCGATCAAGGTCACTCATGGATTCCATCAAATTCTAGAGATGCATCTGCACCAGAACATCACTCAGGCTCAACTGAAATGGCGAGTAATCTTCCTGGCCATGCTGAAGATGATAATGAACCTGATCCGGATGACTTAGAAACACTCACAAGTATAATGGATGTTGAGAATATGGAAATTTCAAATGATCTGAAGAGACCTCCTGGAGAGCCTAATGCAGATGAAACAATCATTGTGGTTGATGAGCCTGATCCAGATGATTTGGAGATTCAAAGGATCCAAGACTCTGTTACCATCATCTCTAACCGTCTCAAGAAAGCCATAAATGCCTTGAAAACTGGAGTTAGCACTGTTGAAGCGACCAATGTGCTGCAAATGCTTCTCAAAATAGTGAGGTACCTTGTCAGCTCTTGGCAACTTACAACCGTGTCTGCAGATTTAAGTCCATTGTTATGTGAGTGAAGATACTGACTTATTACTTTTTTTGGAATGTTCCAGGAACATAATTGAACAGCCAAATGAAATGAAATTTAGAAGGCTGCGTAAGGTATGGAATCATTAGCCTTTGATTATCATTTAGTTCCTTATTTGAGTTAATATATTAAGGGACCGTCTGATTTCTAAAAACTACATGACTGCCATTTCAGGGAAACCCTGCAATTAAGCGCAAGATACTCAACTTTGCAGGTTTTTTTTTTTTATCTTCTGATAATAGATTGTGTATAATAAGATATATGTGTTAACCGATCTTGGGTGGGATGTTTTTGGCTTTTTGCAGCTGCCGTTGAGATCCTTTCCGTGGTTGGCTTTGTCGAAGAGATGGTATGGGAAAACACTGGAACACAAGAACCATATTTGGTACTGAAACGTAATGACCCAGGCCTCTTGTGGATTGCTAAGTCCATGATCGAATCACACACCACAGGTTCGTAGCCAAATATTACGTACATGTTACACTGTAAAGACTGAATTTATAAGAAGTGGTTCTGTTAAATGGAATGTGTGAATCTGCTGACTGTACAGCAGAACATGATATCAATAGAAATTTAAAAAGGTAAATCATCACAAGAAGAGAGTTAAAACATTGTAAAATTCCTCAAACCGAACTCTCAGAAGGTATCTACAAGTAAAATCGGCCCTCAGTGTTAACAGGTATCCATGCGAATATCATCGTTCACCGGTTCGAAAGCCAAGTCTTGAAGTTGATTATTGAGCTCAGGTAATCCATAGCCATCTCTTGATTTAGTTAACCTCTTTTCAAACTCTCTAAGCTGTTGCTGGAACTCTGTTTCAAACCAAAAGTAACAATATCAGGAACTTTAACTTGATTGTTCAATCCAAAGCTTAAAAGTATCCATTGTCCAGTAAGATTTACCTGTACTTATATCAATCGATGGTCTTCGGTTTTGGACCCACTGGTAACTCTCAGCCAAACTCCACCGTTTGCGTTTCATCAAGTAAGCAATCACAATCGCTGGTGATCTGTCAGAAACAAATCACTACTTGTGTAAGAGAAATTTAACAAGAAGTGTCTCTAATAACACTGTTGTATTTCTATTCTAATCACTCACCTGTTTCTCCCTGACATACAGTGCACAAGAACACGAGACTTCTCATTTTCACATTCTTCTGAAACAAAATTGTTAATCAAACCAATAGTGAGACATCTCTTCTCATACCCAAGAATGAGGCGGAAAACAAATAGAAAGATTTTCCTAAAAAATTCAAACCTAAGAAGTGGATGGCACTGTCAAATTCTAAAGCCTTTTCATTCTGAAGACGATGATACGTGAATGATCTTGGGTAGAGATTCTCGCACAAAGGAACTGTCTGCGTAAAACCAACAAGGAGGAAGAAACCACACTAAGAACCTTGAAAATTGCTATCTTTTTAATGGTGAAAGATAAAAACTTTCAGGAAGCTTTCACCAGTAAACCAACGAGGAAGAAACAAAACTAAAAACTTTAAAGTTGCTATCTTTTCAATGGTGAAAGATTGCAACTTTCACTATTAACCAAACTATAACATGTGAACCTCGCATTTGATTAGGTGATTAGTTCAGGAGACAAATTAATTTATCACTGTAACCAATGAAAAGTTGCAATCTTTTTTTTGAAGAAACCAAACTAAAACCCTGAAGTTGCTATATTTTAATGGTGAAAGACAGCAACTTTCACCAGAAAATCAAACTATACCATGTGAGCTATTCAAACTATCATTGTCATCATCCAAAGTTGTGATCTTTTATCAAAAAACCAAAATTAAATCTTCAAAGTTGCGATCTTTTTTTACGGTGAAAGAAAAATAAGTGATTTTTGGATCAAAGAATTTACATTGAGAATGCGAGAGATTCCCAGAGTCTCATCAACTTTAAAGTTCGAAGCGCTGTCGTATCCACCGAGATAGAGAAATTCCGGCAAAATTTCCGAAGGAAAAGAGCTGCTTTGGATTGGCGCCGCCTTACCGTAGTGGCCGCAGATGTCGCAGGTCTCTCCTTTCTCGTAGTTATGATAATGCCGACAAACACGGCAAGGATCTTCACCTTCTCTCTTCCCCATTGCAGTCGGCAAAATCAAGATCAGTAATGGTTTTCAGGCTCGACGATCGACGATCAGAAGAAAGGACTCTCCAAGACCTAGAAGAGCGAGTATGTGAGGAGAACCGAGAAAGTAGACATGAACAGAATATATATATATATTAGCAAAGAACAGACTAACAGAGTGTATATATCAATAGGCTTTCTTATTTATTTATTTTTTAAGTTTGTGTTTATTTCTGAACTTTTTTTTAAATGATAATTAAAACAATTTGTCAATCCATGGTAGAACCGAGTATATTGTACGGTGGAAAAAAAAATAGTTTGCGTATGAAAATTCAAATTATAAAGAGTTAGAGATATGAAATTGGACATCTAAATTGTTCATATTCTAATCGGAATCATTTGGAAGAGTTTAGAAAAGAATTGGCCGTTTTCTCAGAAAATAGACAATATCTCTAGGTCTCGTGGACTAAAATTTTTTTTTTTCTGAGAATTTTAGATTAGATAACAAAAAAGAAATCTTTTTTGTTATACGTTTGAACAAAAAGTTTTCATATCAGTTATGACTTGCATGATTGCAAACCAAAATATAGCTATAGTTTTTGCATTAGATTATTTCGTATTAGTAAAAATGATGTTTACACCGAAAGCACGACAATCTGTTTTTGTACTTTTTTTAAATGAGTATAAAATTCTATTCACAAAAAAAACTGATTTATATAACTAATGTTACATTAAATAGAAATTTGAAAGCAATAGAGAAAAAAGTTTTAGGTTCTTGTGGCAAACCATAGTTGTAGGCACTCATCGTATTTTCTAGCACCTGAAACTCGAATCGGTGAAAGTTTATTTCGCACTTGCTTGTCGATCATCTTGATTAGCCGATCTTAAGGGACTGGTGTTTCACCATGCTTTCGGCTATTTCATTCCCTCCAAAAGCTATAAGTAGTAATTTGGAAGACATAACGGATAAGGAAAGTTTTCAATCAATCTGTGTTTGTGCTTCTGATAATGCTCAAAAGAGTTCCATAGTCCGTTGAAAAACATGAGCCGAGCAGACCTCTACTAAGCGCCATCCATACTGCTTTCCCATAATGACACGAGAAAAACAGGTGTGAACATGTTTCCAAAGGGTCAAGACAGAACACACAACTAGAGTTCACACCAACATTCCAACTTTGCATGAGATCACTTGTAGCTAACCAATTATGAATCGCTAACCATGCTAAAAAAGAGTATTTAGGAGTAAAGTGATTAAACTAAATTCTCTCATACCAATCCATTGAAGTATGGGTCTGCGGGTTATTCTGCCACGTCTTCTTAGCAGTAAAAACACCTGGTATTTATCAGCACCTGATTTCCAACACAATCTTTTCTTGCACAACAAGAAAACAGGGAAATTCTGACGGCCATATCCGTCTCTAATCAGTCGGAAAACACCATTTTCCACGGATTACCGACCAAATCAATCTGTCGATTTTGAGCTCGTCAGAAATTAAGTAGTGGTCAGGAATCCATCAGAATAGGTCGTTAGAAAAGCGTCGAATATTTCTGACAAAAAACTAACGATTTTCTTTCTGATGAATTTCCGACTTATTATTGTCGGAACCTGTTTTCGTAGAACCGTCGGAAAGTCGTCTGAAAGAAAGTGTCAGTTTTGGTCGGAAATATATCAGTCAGTTTTCCTACGAATTATCGACGGACCCTTTCCAACGACTTTCTGATGGATAAAAAATAATTCCTATTTTAATAAAAAAATAATTTAATAATAATTACTAATTAAATTTTAAAAATCATAATTCAAAATTAAATTCCAAAACAAAAAAAACATACATTGTTCACAAATATAAAAAAAAACATAAATTGTCAAAAAAAACTATTCTTATAATAAAAAAAAACCAAAACTATTTAAATAGATCCGGAAAACGCGACTCAATAATTACTTTCATCTTAGCTAGCTCATCTCGGGTCTCGGTGTGAGCGGTTGCCAACTGTTCATGCTGCTGCTCCATTGCCTCGACCTTCTCATCACGTTCTTTGACCTCCTGAGTTAACCATTTGATATCAGCACAGTACTTCGGAATCGGATCTTTGATGCGGTGTGGTGTTGAGGGTTGTCAAGTTTTACCCTAAATGAAATCAATAGCCACAAGTGCACAACTGATCGATTGTAGTACTTAGGAATCGAATCCACAGGGAAGGAGGATCTTTCCTGCAAAAGCCTTCGAAAGAAATATAAAAGTAAGGAAGTCTAGAACCAGGCGAGTTTTGTGAGGGTTTTGGTGGTTTGTTTAAAACGTAAAAACAAATTTTAAAGAGAAACTACGGGAATTAAAATGACCTAATAACTAAACTTAACGAAAACGGGTAAAAACGAGAAAAACGGCTAACCTAATTGCCTAAATGAAAATCGATTGAAAGAGAAAATAAACTAGACTAAAGCTTGAATGAAAATCGGTGTAAATCTATAAGAAAAAAGGCGTTGGGGTTTAGGGAAGTTTTCTCAGGGGTATGAACGATTCAAAACATTGCTAGAGAGTAAATTTGATAAAATCTTAGCTTAAACTTTTTGAACTGGAGTCACGGACGTATGAATACGCCACTGTCGTGATTATAGACAACTATCTCTCTTAACCCTGACCAGTAGGTTTCCACTCTGGCCCTGGAAAAGAACAGATGCATTATGTTTAAGACTCGTCAGCATTCACAAATCGCCCATAGTTAGGTTTCCACTCCTATGTTTGTTTTGCTCTCCCAAACTAGATCTGACACCGGTTTGGCCAGTCCATTATAGCTCCAGAAGTTGCTAGAAAAGACCATCCGAGAATCTCTGGATATGTTGCGTCTCTCGTTTTGACAATGTAGAAGTCGACAGGCACTATGCAATCTCCTATTCTCAAAGGAATTTCATGAGCTATTCCTTGAGGCGTTGCATTGGAATCATCAGCTAGACTAATCTTTTCTCTAGTCCTGCGCAGGTGTTTAATACCAAGTCTCAAAGCAATTGCCTTGGACATCATGTTAAGACAAGCTCCAGAATCACAAAGCACGTTTTTAAACATTTCTCCTCTAATAGAACAAGAAATAAGGAACTGACCTACACCTTCGATTTTGTGAAGTGTTCGAACAGGTTTACCTGTTCTGGCATGATTGAACAAGTCTTCTATCTCAGGAATTGATTCCTTGCTCTCACAGAAGTAATGGCCTATCATGAAGTCCTTGCAAGCTCTGGCAAAGGTGATTCCTTCATGCAAATTTCGGACTACATCATTGAATTCATCGAGCTTCTCTTTGCTGTTTTTGTTGGTGTAGTGGCTGCATTCTTCAGGTCTTTGAAGGTGGATTGAATAGATTGCAGCATCAGGTGATGTTCTAGGAAAAGTCAGGCGTCTGGCCCTCCCAAAATAGGTTCGGATATCCTCTTTTTGTCTCCTTGCTGTACCTAAAGAAAACTTGCAAACAACCAAGATGCCATATATCATCGAAACTTGTGTAAAGATGGATCGATTTCACAAACTTGTTGAATTCAATGAGTCTTTCCCTGGAGATCGGTGCTCCTAATTCCATCATTTTGTCTGGATTGCCTCCTTCTATGAACAGACGGTAGTCTTCATCTTCGAGGTATTGCCCTTCATATTCATCCTCATATGCTAAAACTATGTTGCAGGGAAGTACCTCATTTTCTTCTTGAGATGTTTTGGAGCTGATGGCGTACACCGTTTGCTCATGAAAAGGGGTTTTGACCATCCCAGCAGATGTATCTAATGAACATTGACCTGTAAGAATAGAAAGGGGCTGAAACGTATCTGACCGACTATTTGCCGTGGGTGGAGGCTGTACGACCGCGTGTGGAGAGTGGTTTGCCGCGGGTAGGAGGCTCACGACCGCGGCTGGAGGATTGTTGGCCGCAGTCGCGTGAGTCGTGACTGCGGGAGAGGGACATCGGGAGGGTTTAGCTGTTTCATCTTCTCCTTTGCTATCTAAACTGGTTTTTGGGTCCTCCAACTCTGTCTCCTCTTCTTTTAGGTCAAGATCTTTGATGGGAAGCGCCGAGCCGTTCGTTTCACATCCTTTCATAAGCTTTTCGACCTTCCCTTCAACTTCATCTAGGGCACAAACTACTTTGTCCACGGTTGAGTCGATTTCTTCGGCTTTGTCTTGAACCTTGTGTACTCCATCCCAAATTTCTTCCACATAAGAGTAAGTTTGGTTGTTGTGGTCGTTAATAGTTTGTTCTGCTTCATCGAGCTTGACCTCTAAGGTGCGGATGTTCCCACTGGCTTTGCGAATGCAAACTTCATTTTCTCCAACTCGTCCTTCGACTGCTTCTATCCTCTCCTTGATAGTCTCAGCATCCTTGTTTTCTTGAGTCTCGATGGTTTTAACTTGAGCAGAAAGATCCTCAAGCTTTTTGTTAAAGTGAGTTGACATGTTGTCAATTTTCTCGTGAAGGGCGGCTCTTGATGTCGCTTGAGCGGCGATTAAGTGCATGACCACCGTTTCTAGTCGACTCAACCGATGACTGAGCTGGACGTTTTCGTCTTGGTAAGGCACACGACGAACAGGATGTCTAGGGTTTGCCATTGGAGGTACGTATGGCTCGTTTTGGAATGTTCTGTAGTCTTCGGTTCGAATTTCTTCGTAGAGATCGCGTAAGTATTGCTTCTCTCTGCGTCTGGTGGCTTGAGGAGTGTTATAGAAACCTTCCTCATAGTGTGGATTTCGATTTATAGGATCCATATCTTCTGAAATGAAACAAAATAACCGAAAAATGGAAATATGCAGAAAAAGGGTTCTAGAGTTGATTTACCAACCTTTCTTAGGGTTTTGCGGAAAAGAAAACGCGTGCCTTCCCCGGAAACAGCGCCAAAAACTTGATGCGGTGTGGTGTTGAGGGTTGTTATATTTTACCCTAAATGAAATCAATAGCCGCAAGTGCACAGCTGATCGATTGTAGTACTTAGGGATCGAATCCACAGGGAAGGAGGATCTTTCCTGCAAAAGCCTTCGAAAGAAATATAAAGTAAGGAAGTCTAGAACCAGGCGAGTTTTGTGAGGGTTTTGGTGGTGTGTTTAAAATGTAAAAACGAATTTTAAAGAGAAACTACGGGAATTAATGA